TATCTGTGTCCACTGTTTTTAGTTATCAAGCTGCCCCATCCCACACCTTCTGTTTCTCCCATTTTCATAGATCCTTCTCCTCCCCTGTTATTTTCCTTCTTTTCCATTCCTTTCAGATTGTTTGTCCACCCAGTCAGTTTGTGCCTCCCAATTGGGATCTCAATGTCTTTTTCAAGCCCTGGCTCAGTTTCCTTTTGAACCTATTGCTACGTGTTCTTTGTACCATCTTTCTTTTAAGACCTATTTCCTCTTCCTCCTTGCTTGTGGTTGCTGTTGTTCTGATATTTTTGCTATTAATGTTTCATGCACCCTTTACCATGCTTCCCAAAACATCTGCTGCTCGTGAAGGTTGTTTTGCTTTCTCTCTTATTTCCTTGCCTTCCATTTCCTATTTATACTCATTTTCAGATCTCGATCATATTCTTTGGCCAGTTCATTCCCTTAGTTGTTATATGTTTCGTACTAAATCCTTTTGTGGTTTCCATTCTCACCTCTTTATACCATGGAATCCCTCTGTTTCCTGTGGTCTTTCTTCTATTACCCTTACTGGCTGGGTTCAGAAACTTATACGACTAGCTTATTCAGACTTGTCTGTGGAAGCTTGCTGGCTGCTAATGTGTCTTCATACAAAATACACCATTTAACTATGTCTTTTGCTGCATGAATCCATTGGGGAAATTATTTGGAGGAGATTATTCAAGCAGATATGCGGACAACTCCCAATACTTTCATCATGCATTATTTGCATGATCTAGCTGTGTCTTCCTTATTTGGGTATATTCTTCTGCCTGTGGTGATTCTCCACACGTCTCTTTGCCTTTGACTGAGGTAATTTGATATATTTCTTGTTGTATCTCTTTATTTTTTGCCTTTTACTTATAGTTGTTTTACATTGTATTTCTGGATTCCACCTTGTGGCATGTGTTGCCTGGTAAGGTATGCTGAATAATTTTATCCTAGCCCTAACTCTGCATAATTTCTAATGCTAACTGTAGAGATGGGGTGTTTCTGTAAGACCACTGGATACTTTTCCGGTGATGTATCTATATCTGTGTATTTTATTGTATCACTCTCTCCTGAGGACCATCACTCATGGACTTTGTGAGTAAAGCGGATAGGGAGTTTAGCCCATCCCTACTGACTCGTGATTCTTACAATCTGGGTATTTCTGCTTTTCAAAATAGGGATACTCATACACCCATTGCACTGTCTCCAGTGTGGTTCCTCCTGACCCCCTCTTTTTTCTAGTGGAGTGGTGGACCATGGAGGTTTCCTCTCAAGTGGGTTCTGTATGATAACACAATCTCATAGCTATATGTACCCACCCGATGAGAAGAGGGCTATCGTAGTTATGCTTAATATTCTACAGTACAAGTTATGCTATTTACTATCTTATACAAGGTGCTTCCCCTGGGTGTTTTCTGCCTGGATGGACAGCACTTGTCATACTACATCATATCACAAGCCGCTTCCCCAGGATTTTTTTTTGCCTGGGCAGACTGCATTTGTTGATCTCACAGTATCTTATGTACACAATATGGCATGAAAACTATTTGGCAAGGTGCTTTCATTTTGTTTTTGTCCTTGGACTGCATTTAGCATAATACTTTGTATCCCAAGACGCTTCCCCTAGATGTTTTGCCCGGGCGAACTGCACTTGGCCTATTCATATATGATCCTCTAGTCCTAGCCTCATATTCTATTCAGTTCCACCCTATGTGTCTTTTTCTCTTTACTGGGTGAAGAGCATACCTGTTCCAGTTATAGTGCTATACCCCACAGGTATGTCTCCTATTTTATTGCAGCACACCTGCTTTTTTCATGGCAGTCATTCTCCACTTGATTAATTGTTTTTGTGCCTTCACTAGCCCCTCCACCTTTCCAATGTGGAATTCTAGCTATGGGTGATTAGAGGTAGTACTGTTTCAGAAGTTAACATTTTTTAACACTGAAAATGTATTTCTGATTGGTACTTACCTCTGTTCACTCACTTCCCACCCTTCATCCCAACTGATTTGCTGATATTTCAGATTTGTATATGGCAATTCTCAAAAGTTAGTATCCTGCTGCAATGGTAGAGGGAGCTACCTGTGCTAGTATAGGGGGCACAATAGAACTGGTGGAGGGTGATCACATGATCAGCACATGTTGCTGCAATGATGCAAAATATAGGGGGTATTAAAGACCGGTGTGCTGTTCAAAATTTTAGCAACACTTAGTGTACAAATGAAGGTCAAGATAGCTATGGGTGACAGGAGTTAAGTACCTATCAGAAATACATTTTCAGTGTTAGAAATTTTAACATTCATGCTGAGATTTGTTGCTGAACACCTTCTGTTGTTGGGGTATTGTATAACTATGACAATCAATCCTACAATTCAGTTAAGAATAGCCACATAAATGGCAAGTACCACTGATTTGTTTGTCCTCCTTTAGCTCAAATTCTATATTTGAAATGGCTACACCTAATCTATAGAGATCCTGGCATGAGTCACATAAGGTACTGTTGAGATTGAAAATAGCAGATACTTGTGTTATATCATATTTTTTGTTTCTTTCAATTATAGGTAAACTATTCTTATTATAATTACTGTCATATTTTGTAATGCCAGATTCATTGCAGTAGGTGTCTGTGACTTGTTGATGATAAATTGCCACTATAAACAGACAGCAATACAGTCTGTTTGTTTTGAAATAATATATCAAAAACAAATCAAACATATAAATATGAATGTTTGTTACACTGTTGGTTACCAAAGTTATTGCCAGAGTTTAAATAATTGTATCTTTTCCATCAAAGTTCACACAGGCTGGTTCAGTTACTTTAGAACAAGATTAATTATTCTGCTCTACTCTGTTATTACATACAATCTGTGATAATTTCACTTTAAAAATCGCCACTATACACTCTTTATTGCCAAAGTCATGATCACACAGTCTAGAACTAGAACTAAATAATGATTTTTTTTAACCAAAGTTAAGAACAATGCATCACAATACTAGATATTCTGATTCAATAATACTCAATTAAACCATTGAGAAACTCAGAAAGTTCTAACAACATGACACAATAATTTCAATATTGTAAACTGTTGCTAACTCATAACAAGTGAAATAAACAACATATAATTCATAAACAGTTATGTAAACAAACTTACCATAAAATATCGCTTGTAAAAATAACTATGACACCCATGCTATATCAACTATCTAAACTGTAACACTCACATTAAATTCAAACTGAAACAGTCATTTATATCTAACAATTAGCAGGTGAATTTGTGTATATATAAAACTTTATATGCTTCTAATTTTTGTAGGATATTGTTTAAAAAAGCATTTTTTTACTTTGTTTACAACTTTCATCTTTTGAAGCCAGATACTTGCCAACACGTCTATTAAACTGTAAAATTTTTTTTTAACTTATTTATAAAAAAAAATTTTTTTCTTGTTATCAACAGATTTGTTTTCATAGACAGATAATTTGTAACACAAGTCTGTTGAACTGTTAATTTGTTTCTTCTAACATCAAACTAGTAAATGTAGGATAATGAATTTGTGCACTGAGTCACAAACTATTTCAAATATATGTTTAGTTTGTTTTTTTCTATTTAATATTTTTTTTCGTTTTTCATTATTAGCAAGCACCATTGGTTATTTCTTACCACAGTTTTATTGAAAATAGATGAATTTTTTAAATGTGTTTAGTGATTCTCATGAAAAAGTGAGAATTAAAGAAAACTTTGTATTGAATGATGTGGTATTTATTTTCCTGTACTGAATAATGTTTTAGTTGGGAGTAGAAAGTTATATTTTGTAACTTGTCTTTAGAAATTTTGGTAAAAAAAAGCACTACAGAATATTTGTAGCACATTTTTTTCTTATTCCAAAGCACCCATACAAATATTATACCAGTTTTTTACATGTTATGTAGTTTTCCTACATCACATTAAGCACTATTATGAATGTATTTGAATTCTTTGTAGTATTGAAAGCTTTATATTTGTAAATCATTTTAACACATTTGATTCACAGGATATATTGATAAAGTGCCTGAGTATCATATGTGATGCACAGCTACATTTATTTGATGTACAGTTAATGCTCATGAACATGACAATAGGAACTGGTTGTTTTGGTTCAACATATGAGATTAAAAAGATAGCTTCCTATAAGTGTGATGCTCATATATGATACTCTGGAGTGTTAGTTGATAAAAGTTTCTACTCCACTCTCTTTCAATAATACTAGAAGGATATGTGTATCCATAAAAAACATTAAATGACCTAAAACAGGGAAAGGATTAACATCCACTGCTCACTTGTGTGCAGCTCATACATGTAATTTTGATGAATTGTTCACTTCAAAATTATAATTCTGAAGATCAAATGAATATGGTACTTGATTCAACTAGCTATAATATCTGTTAAGTGTGTAAAATAAACTTTTCATACAAATGATAAATGCAAATGCACTACATCTAACTAGTGGTTTCAACCATAATTTAAAAAGTAAATCAATCTATCCGAAATGTACAGAAGAAGTGGTATATATATATATATATATATTACTTGTATATTAGTTTTTAATTATTCTGTGGTATAGTTTTGGATATGTAAGAGTAAGAAGCTTTCGATGCTAAGGAACACACAACATCCAATACTGGCCTAGTGGCTCTTCTTAACATGTATAAGTTTCAACTTCACTTGTTTAATATTTCTTCAAAGCCTTTATTATTGATGCTGTATGTAGTCTTTCAAATTATCTGGAAAGCTTCTGCAACAAAAACTTACAACATAGATCAACAATGAAATCTTTAAAATACCTTTCTTATTTTTCTAAGATAAAAATTAATTTCAACAACTAAGAAAATTAATATTTTCGAAAAAGTTATTCTATATGAATTTCATTTAAAGAGTTTTATAAATTTGTATCTACAAGAAATTTATATATTCACATATATTTATTTCTATATTCATTTATGGATTTCCTACATGTAGAAAAAGCAGAAGACAGGACTGAGATGGAAATATTTACCGCAAATCATACTTTAGAGCCGACTGTGAATCAAGAGCTCAAAACACATTGTAAATTAGGATTTTATGATCAGGATTTGAGGATATTTAGTGAAGGACATTCTGTGAAAATGGGAGATCTTATTCCAGATGGAGCCAGTATTATTTTTCACTGTCACCCTGTTGGAAAAAGTCGTTTATTTGGCATTAAGAAAACATACTGCCATAAAGGAGAATGGAATGATATTACTTTTCCATCTTGTCAGGCTAACAACGGTAAGTTTATGTGTTTTAAACTGTGGTATAGCAGCTCATAGAATGGCTGAGTATTTTTTCAAGGGCCAACTTTTAGCTCATAGCTCAATCGCTTGACTGATTTGAGATCTAATTACAGCTGCAGCTATTGAGGATTCCCTCTTGTTTACTGATAGATTTTTCAATACCATTGTTTTAAATCATTTAAAACTTTAGAACCTCTCATTCTCACTTTATTTTAGACTTTTCAGTACTGCACACAAATATAAAACATGTTTGTATTTTAACTAAAATTATTAATATCTTGGTCTCATGCATTATTCATATAAATTTTAAACTTGTAAAGCTTAGATGAAATCATAAATGTTGTTATTAATGAGTTTATATATTATATGACCTGGCATGTCCTCGTAGTTAGGGCATTTGATTCACAATCTGCAGGTTAAAGGTTTGAATCCCATCACCAAATATGCTCACCCTTTCAACTGTGGGAACATTGTAATGTGATGATCAGTCCCAATATTCTTTGATAAAGAGTAGCCCAAGAGTTGGTGGTGGGTGGTGTTGACTATCTGCCTTCCCTCTAGTCTGTCACTTCTAAATTAGAGATGGCTTGTGTAGATAGCCCTCAAATAGCTTTGCACAAAATTCAATAAACAAGCAATGTGCTCTTACTAATGACATGGGAAATAGTATTGTTACGACTGCAGAAGTCACGTGACACTAGTAACACGTCATGAGCTTCTAGAAAATTCATGTCCCTTCGTGAAGCCTCGAGTGTTTACTAGATGTGTGGTATTCTTGTATATAAGACCACCAAGAAGTGACAGCAACAATGTAATTGAATTGCAGACAGAGATAGAGACGAACAATTGAGTCAAGTGAGTGAGTTGTTCATTGTGAATTATAGTGTTTCTTTAAGTTATAGCGTGACTGTGGAAATTAAGTGTATTGCAAAGTAGTATTGAGAAGGAATAAACTAGTGTTATTTAAGTAAGGACTTGTGTCGCTAAATTTTCATCGGAAAAAAATTATACAGGAAATTAACTAACGACCAGAGACGTAACAAATTGGTGTCAGAAAGTGGGATAAAAAAAAAGACATATAGAG